TTCTATATACACATATCTATACATATGGATTTACAATATCTAAGCAGTTTTAATTTAATTAGTTCCAAATCAATGATTTATCTTAACAATAAAATTGGGATAAAAATGGGGTATGTTATATGACTTTGAGGAGTTGAAGTTCTTGATTCTGTGGCACTGTCTTTCAATCAATTTACAAGTTATTTATTTATTTATTTAATTTTTGGTAAGTAAATTTGATTTTTAATTTAGAGATCTAACTATTATTATAATAAATTTTCAATTTAGCCGAAGACAAGCCACCCTGCAGCAAATCAAAGACGGGAAAAGATTGATTCTTAAAATCTGAAGTAGAATTATTATTTTTATTTTTAGATTAATTAACTAACATGCACCCACTTTTTATTTAATTTTATTTATTATTATTATTATTATTATTATTATTATTTTGGTCAGAATCTAATTAAACCTGTGGGTGAAGAGCACATGTTTCACATCTGGATTCCACTTTCTAAATGGAAAGTCCACTTTCTAACAAGGGCGAGTAATTTTTTAAATACTGTCAATCTAAGGATACATATAAATATGTTTTCAACACATTCCCTGTAAATGGTGAGTAAGTACCACAAATTTATAACTTTTGGCAATTTCGTTTAATTTTTTTTTTTTATTCAAACTCATAAAGAATCTTATATAGGTAACAAAGTACGAGTATTTTAATATTATTAAAATTTAGCCTTTTCGACTATAATTATAATTAATTTATTATTTGTACTGCAACTATAAATACTCCAATGTGCTATTTATAGTAAATAAAGCACATTAGATCCTACTAGGAATAAGAAACATTAGGGACTTGCCGAAAAAAAAAAAAAAAAAAAAAAAAAAAAAAAAAAAAAAAAAAAAACATTACGGCTAGTATTCCTATATGGGATTGAAGTCTTATTTAGTGTCTATATATATATATATATATATATATATATATATAATTGCGATTTTTATAGAGAGTTCATAGAAGTTAAAATTTGGTGGTATTTTGTACTCACAAAATTGGCGTAATTTTGCAGGTAGAAAACGTTGGAAAGCTAACAAATAAGTGCGGATTAGTATTTGAAGAATCTGGTATGAATTTTTAATACTGTTAAATATCATCTTGAATTATAATGATCATAAATTTAATATAACCAGAATTGATTTTTATAACTTTTGCATAGACCTGTTTTTTAGTAGGGCAAATTAAAAAAAAAACACCCCCACACCTCTTGCACCAATATAGAACTACGTGCCATATAACAAGAAGCTCCAAGTTACTGGTTTGACCTAAGTGAATTGGAATGAATTTACGTTTTTGACCTTGGACTTAAACCATTTGTTTAACTAAAAAAGTAAGAATGAATTGGTATATTGTTAAGTTACATTTTTGCCCCTCCTCCATCAATCTAGGGACTCATTTCTCTTTCTTCCCTGTCGTCTATACAGGTGTGTGTGTATATATATATATATACACACATTATACAGAACTGACAGACACAATCATATACGCATATATGTGTATATATCTATATGTATGTATCTTCCCTATGGACAGAATAGAAGACCATCAAACTCCCTGGTGAGTGAGGGGTTGGGTTTGTGAATAAGCTATCAACAGCCATAGCTGCTCTGCTATCTGAAATGCCGAGAGGTTCATATCAATCCCAATCATAATCCTCCCGCGTCTTTCTATCGGCATGGCACCTCGCGTGTTCTTACCTGAAAGGATGTGTTCTTTAGTCTGGAGCATGGGTCCGTCGGCGCCGGAGACGACGAAGATTGCGCAATTAATCTGGGTCTTATGGGCAACGATTTGCAGTAATTATTAGAGAATCTGAGATGGTGGAGGTACAGGTGATCCTTACAATTTCGCCCAAAATAAGAAACCATTGCTTGGAAAGATAATGAGGCTTGACATTGACAACATACCAAGTGAGTTTTAGCATGGAAAATTTCATAATACTGCATATTCCAAACATCTGTTGTTTTAGGAATTAATAGCCTAGCTACTATTTGTTTCTTGTACAATGTGGTTTTAACCAATTTTTTCATTTAAGTGTGCCCATATATTATCAACATATCATCTATATTCTTCTACTGCAGAGCACAAGAGTACGGGTTCAACCGGAAAAATTCATGAAAACCCAAAACAGGTTCAACCGGAATTTACAAAGCATCGACTTGTGCGAAAAAGTCCAGCCCTTGATATTGGCGCCACAAACTTCTCCTTGAGGAGTATTCATGGCTTCTCTCTACTCAATCCATTTGCTTCTTTTCTTCAAAGACCCACTTGATGAATAAAGTAGAGAGAGAAGTTCATAAAGTAGAGAGATAAGAAGCATATACAGAGTATAACAGCAAAGCAAATATGTCTTGTAATGTAAGCGGTCAATGGAAAAGGGTACTTTTGTTTAGGTAAAGGCGTAATTTAAGTTGACATGAATGGACAATTTCGTCTTCTTACAACAAGAAGGTTATGTTTGTCCAAAACTTTTCTTACCCCACAGCCAAACCCAACAATGGAAGTCATGTGCAAGGTCAATGAGAATGGGGGTACTTGACTAATATATGGTGCCATCTTTTATCCGGATGCACTAAATGAAAACCTAAGGGGTGGTTTGTGTGATTTGCCCTTTTTAATATATGCCACAAACGCTTTCGAATTCTCTGTATAGTTTGGTAGAACGTTTAGTCCTAAGAGCGAGTGAGTCTGTGTTCCAATTTTTATATATATAAAAAAAAGAAATTGTAATAAATTAGTAAAGATTCTCTGTCGACCTACAAACCACTGAAAAGTGGAGTCGGAAATCATGGCTGTGCTAAAGATGACCCGTCGTCAAACCCCAACTCTCGACCTCGACATTCCAACCACTCTCTTTCGAGAACTTTGGAAGAGCTAGAGGAGAAAATTCTCCGCCTTAGTCGGCCACGACGTGTACGGCCCGATGGGACGTGGGGATACGCCGTGGCCGGAGAAATTCCTGCTTGGTGTCGCGCTCGCTCGTGCCGATCAGAGTGGTGGTCGCCATCACTATATTGATGAGGGCCGTGATTGTTCAGTCCGGGAAGTTTCTTTCTAGGGCCATATTCTTCCATTTAGGGTTTTATTGAATTAGAGAAACCAACCGAGATTCGGGCACAGACGAAATTTTGAATGCTCTGGTACTACTACTTTCTCTTGCTTGCTGCTCAAATTTTGGGGTATTAATTAAAGCTATGGGTATATATATCGAATTACTTTTGCCATACCTATATTTGCTTCTTAACCTCTTCTTATTTGGATGTAAAATATATATCTTGATTATCAAAGAAGAGAGACAAAGATGCAATATGAGAGAGATATATAATTGATATATGAATTGATGTTGTATTCAAATGAGGTAAATGATGATACAAAAGAGGACATATAAATAGACTTTCCTCAAACTTAAGTTGGTAGAGCAGAAACCACTTGAGTTTGGAGAGAAAATCTGGAACGGAAGACGGTATCAGAGTTGTGAAGATCCGATATGTTGAGGTACTTAAAAGTACATGATAGACCACTTACGGCAAGTGTGGTAGCCTTGAGAGAGCTCTTGAAAACAAATATTAGAGTGGAATCATAGAGTGAAATTTACCGCTTGAGAGACGCACGAATGCATATGACAGAGCGTGATTACCGCTTGGTAGAGTGGTATAACCACTTGAGATATGCACAGGCGCATAAAGATCATTTTACGGCAGATGTGGTAGCCATGAGCTCTTAAAAGCTAATAATTAAGTGGAATCATATAGTGGAATTTACCACTTAAGAGACGCACAGATGCATCGATTACCAGGTGTGCTCGGAAGCGTCGATTTACCAGGGGCGCTTGTAGAAGTGTCGATTACAGAGGGCGCTTGTGAAAGCGTCGATTACAGAGGGCGCTTGTGAAAGCGTCGATTACAGAGGCCGCTTGTGAAAGCGTCGATTACAGAGGGCGCTTGGAAGCGCACCAGAGAGAGCCAGATCAATGCCGATAAATTAGATAGGCTGTACTCCGGAAACTGGAACTGGTCGGAATACACCCCCTCAAGTTCTGGAGGGATATCAGGAGCACCTAGAACTTGCATTTGAAACTGGGCCAAGACTGAAATGAACAGGGTCAGGGCCAAATATTGATTTGGGCCGGAGCTGAATATTGAACTGGGCTCGAAGCGAAAATGAACAGGGCCACAACCTTTACGGAACTGGGCCAAATACTGAACTGGGTTATATAAATATATATATATATATTTTGAATTGTGACAGACATGTGGGCTTGAGATGAATTATACAGAGCCCAATTCCTCACAATAATAGGCCCAATCTTAGTGAGCCCAAACTCTTCACAGCAATAGGCCAATATGAAATACCAATCGGTATTGCCACAGATGCGATCCAATCGGTGAGACCAGAGGCGACAAATGATCCGATCGGCGGTGGGAGCAGCGAAGGCGACTGGTTCGGCGAGGATGTAGATGACGACTGAAACAAATCCAGCAGCGGCGACGGATCCGGCGGAGTTCTCTGTGATGATCTCTGGAGCCGGCGAAGATGGGGGAAGAGAGGTTGGTTCAGACCATCTTCTAGAGAGAGAGATGGCGGATCTGTTCCATAAACTGGCGAATAAACAGGATATATATATATATAATGATTCTGTCGGTGGGTGTCAGATTCCGGCTAATGAAGATGGCGGGCTGGGTGGATGGAGATGGCCGGCGAGACAGATCCGGCCGCGGGACAGATGCGGCCGGCGATACAGATCCGGCTGTGAGGATTTCGTCGGTGGTGGCGAGTCGGTCGAGGATCGGCGAGTCAGGCTACATCAGAACTGAACAGGTACTCGGTCGTGAGCTTGCGGCGCGGCGCCGGCGGGCAAGGAGAAGACGACGGCCGTGGAGAGCGGCCGGCGATGGGGACGGTTTGGCTGTGATGGGCTCGCCTGTGAGCAGTGGGTTGAGATGGAGCTTATGTGCAGCAGATGAAGTTGCAAAGGCTATTGTTGATTTACTGAGTCCGACCATGTGGGCCAACTCGGACTCGGTAGCGAGTGGATTGGCGGCGAGCTGATATATGGGCTGATGAGGACGGCGGTGGATGGTTCTGCGGAAACTGAAAGGTATGGGTTTTGATCTTTTGTAGATGTTGTAGTTTTGAAGTTAGAGAGAGAGGGCAGGATCAGAGAGAGAGAGGGCGAGAGCAGGAGACGATGACTCAGAGGTTGGTTTAATTGAGGACCTTGGACCGCCGCCGGAGATGAGGCTTACGCTGACATAATATGAGAGATATAGAATTGATATATGAATTGATGTTGTATTCAAATGATGTAAATGATGATACAAAGGAGGACATATAAATAGACTTTCCTACAACGGCTATACAGCCTACAACAGCTATATAATATATGTAATTATGGTAGCATATAATATAATTTAATTATGTTAACTATATATATATATAAATTTTTTGGTGTTCTGTTATCATAAAATATTTATGAAGAAAAAGCCTAATAAAAATAACTTACCCATCAATTTTCTAAAAGTTATTTTATAGACTCCATGGGATGAATCTAGACCTTTAGTAACTTTGAATTACTGTAAGCGAAGTGAGAATTTGATTGGTTTGGGACAGAAGTTGTCTTTCAAAAATGATAAATAGGTTGAAGAGGAATGAGAGGATCATATGAGTGAGAGAAGGATAGATATTAGTGAAATTTTCATTGCAATGGAACAGAGTTTTCTTCTGCATGGTTTTGTTTTGGATCTCTCTGCAATTAATTTTTTGCTAAGGTACAATCACATAATTATCTTGTTTTGGATCAATAAGTAAAACTAAAACATGTGTATATATAACTATCACTGCACCATGTGAATGTCACTGTAAAATGTGAATTGCACAAAAAAATATCAAGAAATGATTGTAGTTCTTAAATAAGAGCAACTGTGAAGGAGGAATATCTTAAATTAACATTTGATTACGTTTCTAAATTGGTCCTAGGAATTTCTTTTAGATATCATTTCGAATAAATGAATCTGATTTATGTGTACATATTATGCTAGCTCTTAAATTTCCTCCCTGTCAAACTACTTTAAAACCTGAATGCTATAATACAGCTTTGATAGAAAGGTCACTGATATATTATGAATTAAAAATTATTGATCTGTGGTTTTGTAGGACGGAACCTGTAGACGTGATGGCTGGATCATCTACAACAATTGGATATAGCTTCCTTAAAAATCTATATCTGTATTTGAAGCACAAACGTAAGTACGTGAAAGAACTTGATAAGAATTATGCAAAGCTTACAAAAGAAATACATGCTCTTCGTGCACAAAGAAGAAATATGGAAGAAATGGTGCTAAGGAATCAGTTTAATTTGGAGATGACAGACCTGCATAGAACTCGGATTCATCAAATGGAGAAGATCGAAGAAGAAATTAGAAAGCTTGAAGTCAAATACAAGCGTGCACAGAAGTTGGAGGAACAAGTTGAAGAAGTTGAAAATCTACAAAATGGCAACAAGCAGCAAGCCCGTAGGCATCCAACTGGAAAGCCAGGGTTCTTCACACTTGCAAAGCTCAATAAAGGCATTGACAAATTAACTGGAGAAGTTGCTAAACTCAGAGAGCAAGTGAATGCTGGAAATCTAATGAGTTTTCAAGGGTTGCAATCCATTCATGAAACAGAAGTTGAAAAAGAAGCCCAAATGGCTCCTGATTTTAGCAAGGGATCTCTTGAGACAACTATGTCAGCATCAACCTCAATGCTTCAGCCAAGTAATGAGGCTGTGGCAAAGTCTGCAATCAAAATAGAACTTGTCTCCATTGAAGAAGCTTGGCGATTGTTTGAGGAACAGGTGGGTGGAGTACTTGATTCTCCAAACATTACGAAAATTGCTCAAGAAATAGTTAAAGAGTGTGGTGGTTTGCCTCTAACCATCATTGCCACTGGAAAAGCCTGGAGGAATGAAAATGATATTCTGGCATGGGAGCATGCACTGAGGCAATTCCAGCATCTTAGCGAACTCACTGATGAACATGAAGCTGCAATTAGACGATTGGAATTTAGCTATGACAGATTGAAGGATCGTGATATAAAGAGATGTTTCTTGCATTGTGCATTGTTTGCAAAGGACCATGTGATTAAGTTTGATGACTTGATAGAGAATTTTATTGGGGAGTTAATTCATGCAAGTTCATCCAGAACACTGAAGACTGGACACGATATAATTAAAAGTCTTGTCGACTCTTCACTATTGGAGAGTGTCAATGGTGGCCTGTCTCTGAGGATTCCTGCTATGGTTAAAGATCTAGGGTTATGGATAATGTCTTCAAAAATAGATGATTACCAGTTTTTTATAAGAACTGGTGTGCATTTTAAAAAGTTCCAAGGCAGTACTACAGAAGGTGCTATCTTGTCAGGAGCTGGTGCAGGACTAACTAAGCCACTGCCTGAGGAGGTATGGGAACAAAAGGAGATGATCTTCTTGATGAATAATGACTTCTACAGGCCACCCGAGAAACCAAATTGTCCGAATCTTTCAACGTTGTTCCTCCAAAATAACAGTGGTTTGAGATTGATACCTCTGTCATTCTTCAATGATATGCCTTCCCTCCAAGTTGTAAACCTATCAAAAACTGGAATTAGGTCCTTGCCACCTTCACTGTTTAAACTTACTGAACTTCAGGCCCTTTTTTTACGCCACTGTAATTGTTTAGATGAGCTCCCACCCGAGGTTGGAAATCTTGGAGCTCTTGAGGTTCTTGCTTGATCTTGAAGGCACTGCGCTTTTCAACCTTACTGATGAGGTTGGCAAACTGGGATCTCTCCGGCACTTGCAGGTCTCCTTCTACGAGTTATTTGACAAAAAGGAGTATGATATGCTACCGCATTATTTGGTTTCCCGTGATACTATATCAAAGCTCCTTAAACTGCAGAAACTACACATTTTTGCTCACAGAGGGGATGAACGGTGGAATAACAGTGCAGAATATATAGCACTTGATGTGAGCAGCTTGAATCAATTGACCAGTCTTCAGCTCTACTTACCAAATGTATATGTTGTCTACAAATTTATCGTCGAACAAGATCGATGCTTGAAAATTGTGAACAGTGTGGACGGACCTGAAACAGTTTGTTGTGTACTTGGGCATGCCACAGCAATTTATCTAGATAACTATCGCATGATCCGGAGCCTAGCAGAATTTCGCCTTACTGAAATGAAGGAATTGAAATTTTGTATACTGAGCAGTGTCCAAATATTCATACTACAAATTGTGAAAGTGCATTATCATACCTTGAGTACGTGAGTATTCATTATTTGTGGAATTTGGAGCGCATTTGCGAGGGTCCAATGCCTAATGGAAGTTTTAGTGGGTTGAGGTTTTTGTCAGTACACACATGTCCTAAGCTGGAGTTCATTCTAGAGGAGTCCTTGCTTCCAAGTCTTTCTAACTTGGAGGAGTTGGTGGTTAAAGATTGTGCATCTGTTGGAAGGATCATAGAAATTGAAGAGAAGACGGTCAAGGATGATGATCTTGTTCAACTCCCTAGTTTGAAAAAATTAACACTTCATTATTTACCTCAATTGGTGAGCCTTTGGAATGGCTTTCACCCCTCAAGAATGCAGATCTGCATTTCTTGCTGTCCAAAGTTGTTGCATGACTTTCAGTAGCGAGACACACATGTTAGGGTAGTTGAAGATTCAGTTTTTTCTGGAGCCGACACCCTCTATTCTCTACTATCAATCATGCTTTTGGGAATGTTATTTTTTTGTCAAATGACTCGTAGAAGGAAACCTACAAGTGCCGGAGAGATCCTAGTTTGCCAACCTCATTAGGAAGGTTGAAAAGCACAGTGCCTTCAAGATCAAGAACCTCAAGAGCTCCAAGATTTCCAACCTCGGGTGGGAGCTCATCTAAACAATTACAATGACTAAAAAAAAAAAACTGAAGTTCAATAAGTTTAAACAGTGAAGGTGGCAAGGACCTAATTCCAGTTTTTGATAGGTTTACAACTGAGAGGGAAGGCATATCATTGAAGAACGACAGAGGTATCAATCTCAAACCACTGTTATTTTTTTTTATTTGTATTTTAACCTTCCGAAAAAGAAAAAAAAATGTTATTTTTTTTGGGAATGGTATTTTGTTTAACATTCCCCCTTTATTTATTTATTTATTATTTTTTATTTAAGAAGCTCATGTTTGGTATGAGGAATTGTTAGTTTACTTTTTATTTCCCCAAAGACCATCTGCTGATTACTATCAGGTAGGGCTGCAAGTTGGGCGGGCTTGCCCAGCCCAGCCCAGCCCAACCCCAACCCAAAAATTTTGAAATTTGGACACACAATTCACAAATCGGGTTTATGTTTGGGTTGGGTTTAATCAAAACCCAGACAATTCGGGTTGGGCTTGGGCTCAACCCGAACCCAACCCAAAACACAAAATTAAAATTTTTTTTTTTTTTGTTTCTCTTTTCTCTCTCCTCTCTCTCTTCTTTCTCTTTTCTCTCTCCTTCCCGATTTTTTTTTTCTCTCTCCTCTTCTTTCTCTTTCTCTCTCTCTCTGCCCGAATTTTTTTTTTTTCTCTCTCTCTCTCTCTCCCGCCGTCCCTCAGCCGATCCACCGCCGCCGCCGTCACTTCCAAAAATTAAAACAAAACCCATACATACAAGTTAGCAGTTGCAGAAAGAGAGGGGGGCAAGCTTGAGAGTTGAGAGACAGTGGTTGAAGCTTGCGAACGGCGAACCCGAACTGGAACAGCCAGTGATGGAAACTGAAACATATGGGTTTTGATTTTTTGAACAATCTGAAATATATGGGTTTTGAACTTTTGATTCTTGCACACAGATCTGAAATATATGGGTTTTGAACTTTTGATTCTTATAGATTTTGTAGTTTGAAGTTGCAGAGAGAGAGAGAGAGAGAGAGAGAGTTGAGAATGAGACTGGACGATTGGGGAGGCTGAAATGATTTGCCCTAATTTTTTTTTGTTTTTTAATAATATATAGATATATCTATATAATATATATATTTTTGGGAAAAAAATATATATATAAATTTTAAAAACTCAACCCGTCAACCCGACCCGACCGGCCCGAAAATATTCGGGCTGGGTTTTGACTATAACCCATGTTAGATACAATTCGGGTTCGCCCAACCCAACCCAATTCGGGTTGATGTTGGGTTGGGGTTGGGCTGGGTTGGGTCAGTCCAACTTGCAGCCCTACTATCAGGAAAAGAGTATTCGACATATTTTATTTAAACCTCATGTTTGTGGCACATATGCAACAGGGGTACGGAAAATATTAATTTACGTTTTGTATTTACTGATCTTTTAAGCACTAACTTTAGATTCTGAGATGGTTATGATGGAGACGAAAAGAGGGGTATGGCAGCTTACATACGCTGGTTCTTATGAAAAGCTAGGAACAATTTTATGTTATTTTCTGGTTCTGCAAATATATTTGAAACGAATGCAAAGGTGGTGTTGTCTATGATTAATAGATTTTTTTTCCCACCGGTGGCTATGCTTAATGTGGTGGCGGATATGTCGGTGATGTTTTCACAGCAGCTGCAGTGGACGGTGGTTTACTTCAAGAGATGCCCATACTTTGGCGCTAATGTTTGTGTAACGATTCGAACTCGGGAGTCCAAATCGTTAACCGAGTCTTTACTCGAACCCGAGGACATGCAAGGTACTAAGGTCATTTCATAATAAATTAATACTTCAAGGCCCAACAAGGGCAAAATAGTTGTTTAATAGTGGTTTAAGAAATTAAGACTCAGAAAAGCTAAAACAGTTATTTATTAAGGACATCCAATGATTAAGATGATGTCCGGGGTGATATAGTTGAATATGTGGTTAAAACACAATAATTGCATTTTTACTGGTCACGTGGTAAATACTAGTAATATTAAATGGGTGATAAGAGGTACGGTAAATAGCAGGAACTGGTAGACATGTGAAAATTCTCACTGTCCATGACGATTACATGCACCCACGTGCAATCAACCACCCAAAACACAACCACTAAACTATTACTAAAATGCTGAAACACTATATATATACCCCCACTAATATTCCACTGAAACATTATATATATATATCCCAAACAATTCGCTCAAACAAAACAACGTTAACATGATTACGATCATGGGTTACATGCCAAAATAGAATTATTACATTTATCACTAGCAACATATTTCAAAGGCAAAAGTATGATCGAAGAACATTGTTACAATGTTAATACAATACTTTTCCAAAATTACAATTTCATAACCATGTCTTTATAAAATCAAATGTCAATACAAAACGGGTAAAAAAAAAAGAATACTAATCCATCTTTAGGCTCGTGAAGGCACATCATCAATCGTTAATTTCCTATGACTTGAAAAATGTTAAGAATAGGGTGAGCGCCACGATTCAGTAGAGGATGCCTAAATGGCATTTCCTCAAGTCGAACAAGCATAACACATACACATAGGAGCATGGTAAAATGAAAAGGGGTCATGTAAGGGATGTCAAAACACTAATCAACCATCAAACACATAAACAAGCTTCACATATCAAATGAATGCCATGCATTATGTGTCCACACCACACACACACAACCGACTCACACACACTCACACCAAAAGTGTACTAAGTGGCCGGACTTCTGGTACCTCTTCCGTCCTTATAGCCCATTAGTACCATCGTTAAAGGGGTTATCTCCCCAATACTAGTTTTTAAGAAATCCTTTACTCCACAAACTTTGCAAACTTGTTTCCATCCACTACTTCCCACATACCACTCTACCTGCACCAACACCATGCCATGGTAATGTCACAAAGATGCACTCCAACAATTTTAGAGCAACCATACATTCCATTATACATAAACAACTACAATTAGAACACTAGGCATGCCTTTGCTCATAGATCAACAAGAAGTTCATATAAGTAACCAAACCATATACTATTCAAATTCAATGCAAGAGATAGGTTTATGTAAGTATGTTATCATATAATTGTCACCCTAGACAAGGTTTAGTTCACAATACTCAACATTTGCCTCAATTAAACCACATATAATACATAACTTACACATAAGACATAAAATCTTCCAAATTAGTACACTTAGCACATAATCATCATGCTTTATAATACATAATGTAACATTAATTTCCATTTAAGCAAAATTAATCAATTAAAGCTCATGCTTGAAAACCCTAGAACACAAATTCCTTAAATTACACTTTAAGAAGCATGCTTTCAAGGGAAAAACAAGAAATTGATTACAACAACCTAGGATTATACAAGTTCAACTACCCCTACCTCAAAAATGCAAAAACCCTAACTTGCTTCAAGCCTTGAAACTTTACCAAATTGAAAACTTGGACCGTCAAAATGAAGAGGAGAAGGGGAACAACATTTCCTCTTGGAGCTACCCTAAAAGCCACCAACTTGCCTTGGCCGAAATCTCAAGAATGCCTCAATGACATCCAAAATCACATCATTATGTAGATTAAAAGATGCTCTACAACTTCTCTAATAACCCTCACTCAAAATCCAAGAGATGCTCTACAACTTCTCTAATAGCCCTCACTCAAAATCCAAGCCCTAGGAACTTCGAAAATCTCAAAGTGATCAAATCTCTAATTTCTCACCAAGGTTGTGTAGAGGAGAAGAAGAGGAACACCTTTTCCTTCTTGGGCACACTCAAAATCAAAGGCTAGAGTCCACAAAATAAAGCTTTCTAAAGCTTATACATGGTGGTCAATATATGTATAGATATAGAGAGAGAAAATGACATGGGGAAGATGATGAATAATGGGGAAAATAGCCCAACCATTCCTATTTAAAGAACCCACCACAACTTTCACAAATTACGTCACTTAACCCCAAAATTTCATAACTAATTACTCCCTTCCTCCAAACAACTTCCATGAAATTACCCAATGCCAACAATCCACCGAAAATATAATAATAACGCCTCCAATAACCTTTCACTTAGGCCCTCACCATTCCCACACATTTAGCCCCCCTGGACCCACACGGGATCCACCAGGTCCAAAACTTGAAAACGACCAAAATAGATTGGAAAGCATCTCCAAGAGTTCAAAACTCAAAGAAACGCCCTAAATGACTCTTGGAATCCACACGATGCGCTAATTGGTGCACGGCATGCAAATTGAGGAACCAAAAAAATGAAAAAAAAAGAAGAGAAAAATGCCAAAAAACCCGAAAAAATCCGGGACGTAATTGTTTGTCCCTAGATATGCTTCTATTTCTACCTGTGTTAGTTTGATGCAATAGTAGCACCCAGAAGTTGAACGGTGTGGTTAGTTGAAGGAAGATACTAAAGTTTTCAGATTTAAATATTATGGATATTATATTAGACAAATTAAAATATGATTATTCTAATTTTGGGCCTAATGTATATTTATTGCGGCACTGAAATTATTGAATGGATTGAGTTATATTTGTTGTAAAGTCATTGTTAAAACTTCTAAATGCGAAGGTTTGGGATCCATTCTTGACCCAGAGGTCGATATCACGCTCCCATTTTCTATTGACGTGAGGATAACAAGCATGGACACTTTTTACCGCAGCTATCATATATGAGGAATGAGAGTGTACTAAAATTTGAAATTTGAACACTTCCAAGGACATGGTGATGTAGTCTTGTAATTATTTTTCTTGGAAGAGTGTGGCTCTGTTATAATTTTAAGATATATAATATGAGTTAATTAGAAAAAATATAGATTTTTTTTTTTTTTTTTTTTTTTTTTTTTTTTTTGTAAAAAACATTCATCTTGATAGAATTGTAATTATTACTTAAAATTGCAAACATACTGAATTTGAGGTCCTAATTTTACACCATTGTAATTGTTTAGATAAGCTCCAACTTGAGGTTGGAAATCTTGGAGCTCTCAAGGTGTTTGATCTTGAAGACTACGACAGAAAATCAAACGCATCATTTCCTGAGCCTTTGATGATATAGAGTTCAATTATGATCAATAAGATCGATGCAGTTTTGGAAGTACTTGGGCATGCCACAACATTTTATCATCACCTTGAAATTTTATATAGTGAGATAGTGCCCCAATATTGTTGCTGTTATAGACTTTGAGGAAAATAGTGAAAGTACTAAGGGCAGATTCTCAGGAATTGTTAATAAGGTGGGTTAATATTTTTTTGGGTAGACTAATACAAGTAATAATTTAATTTAATTTTTAATTTTTTTTTTTATTATTTTTATTTTTTGCTGGGCTAAAATTGACTATAGCAATTTTTTTTTTTTTTTTTGGTGCGCTTGAGCCTACCCCTAGATATGCCCTTGAAAGTGCATTACTTTACCTTGAACACTTGTTTTCATTATTTGTGGAATTAGGAGAGCATTTTCAAAGGTCCACTTCCCCGTTGAAGTTTTAATGGGTTGAAAGTATTGTCAGTCACTAAACTTTTTTAATATATAAAGATTGAATCTTTGAAAGAAAATGAGAATTTTTAGTTAAACTTATTCGAGTTCCCTTTGAAGTCACAAAAAGTATTTTAATAAGTAAAAATTGAATCTTTGAATTAAAATACCTCAATCCAGTACCTTTTAAGTCAGTAAACCTTTTCAATTATAAAGACTTGTGTAATTGCAGCATTGCACTATAGGACCCTCTTTACTTGACTTTGTGATGGAAAAAGGAGACTTGTCTCCATCAGAAAACCATGTCACTCTGGATTCCGAGCCCACAAAATCTCTTCCAAATCTGACAGGCTTTGAACCTTTGAAGCAATCTCTCTCTCTTTCTGAATGAGGTCTTGATCAAAAGGAGCATTCAGTAGATCCATCCGCACGTGCAACATATCCTCTCTCTGGCACCTTGAGATCAATCTTGACGAGTCCATGCTTCAATGCCTTACTAACTTGGAGGAGTTTGTGGTTGAATGTTTTGCATCATTACGGAAGATAATAGAAATGGAGGAGAAGACGGAAAATGATGATTTTGTCATACTCTCTACTTTGAGAAAATTATCACATGATTTGACTTTATTAGAAAAAATTATTAAGAATTTTCTAATGTTAGTGTTGCTGCAATTTAAGAGGCTCTTCATATTGATGTACTGTGCCCAGGTTGACAGTTCCCAATTTGGTGAAGTATTGTTGTAAATTTAGGATGTGAGATATATTTTTGTAATTAGCATATTTCGGTAACAAAATAAGTTCTAGTCGAGTTGTAATTTCTGTAATTTCAGTTATTATATTAGACTCGATATCGACTGCAGAGTTGAAAATTTGTTCAGAAGAGGAAAGTAGTATTGATCATTACCTACATGGTATATGTTCAGAGTTACCAAAATACAGAAAATCTAAAATTCCAGTTGGATTCTGGGAACTGGTTCCAGAAGATTGGATTCAGAAAGATTGGAAGGATATTATCACAAGAGCAAATGATATAATTTTCACTTGGGGGAAATCAATTACTAGAAGACAATGAAAAGAAGTTGATCCTACCTAGATGTCATAACTCATATAGAGTAGCACCAAAACTAAGCCACCCAGCAGTAAATCAAAGACCTGAAAAGATTGATCTTAAAATTTGAAGTAGAATTATTGTTTTTTTTTTTTTTTTGTTAGATTAATTAACTAAAGCTTACATGCACGTACTTTTTATTTTTATTTTATTTTATTTTTGTCAAAATCTAATTAACCCACAGGGTGAAGAGCACAGGTTTCACATCTGGATTCCACTTTTCTAGAGGGTGAGTAAGTACCACAACCTATAACTACGGACATTTTGGTTTTTTTTTTTTTCCTTGCATCAAAGAATACTTAGTTCTAATATTTTTGATGACATATTTACCTTTCTTTTAAACATTTAACATATTAGTAATTAGATTTTACCTTTGCTCATTTGTATGTGATTAGGAATAAAAAAAGAATTTGAGTTTGAAACAGACTTTATAACAATGAATAAATATCTATTCCATTATAGAGAAGATATTTAATTGAAAGCAAATCAATTTCTACTACAACAGTAATTTTTAATTGATTTGATTTGATTTTATAAAGGGACGTTTAATTGATTTAAAAATCAAACGAAAATCTAAATTTACTCTAATAGAAACTATGTTGTATGGTTCATTGGTTCAATGAGCAAGCCAAGGAAAACTTGTTTGATTTAAAAATAGAACTTTTAGAAATTATATTATTATGTGATTAATTGATTACTTTTAAGGGTATACAATATAGTGTTATATATTACTATGTATATTATTACTATATAAATTTATGAAGGCTAAGGCTAGAAACAACGAAAAATTGACTTTAGGCCTAAGAAAGCAAAGAGACTTTTTGACAAAGATTTGTCTGGGGGAGTTATCAATTTTATTTGAAATTGTGGCTTATAATGTTCATAATGTTTGGTTTATAATTTTTCTCTTTTCTTGGTGGTGGAAAATAGAAAAATAATACAATTTAAACTAAAATGATGATTGAAAACTAAATAACATTGAATGGAATAATTTGAAATTCAAGAATTCTTAAGGAAGGACAATTACGGTATTAAAAGTGTAAGAATTAATTGGTATTTTATAATTTAATAATTCTTTGGTAATTTTATAATTATTTCAAGCAAAAGGGGAGTGTAGTGCCAATATCAACTCCCTAATCAAAATTAAAAGATTTTAGAGGTTATCCAGATTAAACCCATATGATCCAAATCTAACTCTCTCTCCCCTTCTCTCAAGCTACTTTTGTTTTCTCTTTTGGTTTCGAGGGAGTGAGTGAGAGGGGGATTTTATGGACAAAAAAATATTTTAAGCTAAAATTCTTAAATATAATAATATTACAAGATACAAACAAAGTTCTGGATGATGAACACAAAAAATAACTATAAATGTAATGATACATAGATAATTGTTTTCCGCCAAAATAAAAAGAAGATAAACAAATAAGTAATAATAATTTATCCTGCAATCAACAAATCATTTATCAAACATGTGAACCCAATTAAATATAATTGGGTGTACTTTAGATAAAACCAATTGATAAGCATATATAAGAATTACACATTAAACCATGAAATATATAACTCAAAACTTTCAGTAGAGTAGTTTGAGAGAGAAAAAGAGAGGGAGAGAGAGTTAAATTAAGATTTGATTTGCATTTTTTTGCCAGGTTGACCTGATAAACATATAAATTTTTTTTAATTTTATTTTCTATTGTAAGGACACTTGTCATATTACTTTTGCACCACATTTCCTGCTCACTGTAGGCAAGTATTGTCTCTATAATTATAATTAATTTATTATTTGTACTGCAACTATAAATAGTCAATGTGCTAAACTAATTTACTCTTGATTGGTATTTTAATTAGCTTCAAATAATAAATAAGCACATTAGATCCTACTAGGAATAAGAAACATTAGGGCTGCTATTCCTATATGGGATTGGAGTCTTATTTATTGTCTATAAATATGTATCTCTCTCCATATATAGATATAGATTTTTGCTATCTGAAACAAGACACCCTCTCCCTCTACTCTTCCTTATAGCTGCGATTTCTATAGAGAAGAAGTTATTCCTATTTGAAAATATTAGTTCGAAGGCGCCAGTATTTGAATCTCGAATCAGGTATGAATGTTTAATACTGTTATATATCACCGTGAATTTACTGCAACTAATTAGAACCAATGATCATAAATTTAATACAACCAGAATTGATTTTTATAGCTTTTGCATAGACCTGTTTTTTTTTAATATTGGCCACAAATTCTTACCTTTTGAGCTTTGGGATAACGGTTAGCCCCAGAAGTGGGTGTATTGTGTTCGAATGCCTTTGCAACAAAAAAAAAAAAAAAAAAAAAAATAGTAATAAATTAGTGAGCGTAGTTAGATTCTCTGGCGACCTACCAAGGACTGAAAAGTGGAGTCGGAAATCATAGCTCTGCTAAAGATGACCCGTCCTGTCCTCAAACCCCAACTCTCGAACTCGACCTCGACTTTCCAACCATTTTCTTCCAAGAACTTGGAAGACCTGGAGGAGAAAATTCGCCGCCTTAGTCCGTCACGATGTGTAGGACCTATCTAAGTAAATGCACTTTTATTTATGTGACATGATATAATGGTTAGAGTTTATCAACCGTTTTGAGAATTCCTTCCAAGTGTTTGAACTTCATGGTTTTGTTTATTTTACACATCTTTTGCGTTCCAATTCAGCCCAAATTCGTATAATTGCTTCCGCATGCCAACATATGGCCATGTACCAATTCCATTCTTTTCTCAAAACACTACCAATTGAGAAGATCATGGAAATGTTTAGGAGATTAATATTTGTTTGGATACTAATGATCTTAAATGGTGAAGAAAGATCATTGGACCCAGTATTTTTCTTTTTATTTGTCTCTATTTCTTGTGATATCATTGTCACTTTCCCATATCCTTGTGGCTATAAATGAATCAAGCTTTTCATGATCATCTGTACCTAGCTTGCATAGGGGTTGTAACCACGCTGCTTGTATAAAATCTTGTAAACCCTGAAATTAATATATATATTTCATGTGATCACAATCTAATTAGCTGTGGCGGCTTGCAAACAATCCTAGCCAAGCTCAAGTCCAAGTTTCAAAGGTTGTCCGTATGTAGGTAAAAGGTAGATCAACCCTTTTATTCTCTTTTCAGTTGGATCTCTCTGCAATTAATTTCTTGCTAAGGTATAATCACATAATTATCTTGTTTTGGATCGAGGAATAAAACTAAAACATGTGTATATATAACTATCACTGCACCATGTGAATGTCACAAAAAATATCAAGAAATGATTGTAGTTCTTGAGAGCAACCGTGAAGGGGGAATATCTTAAATTAACAATTGATTACGTTTCTAAATTGGTCCTAGGAATTTCTTTTAGATATCATTTCGAATAAATGAATCTGATTTATGTGTACATATTATGCTAGCTCTTAACTTTCCTCACTGTCAAAGTACTTTAAAACCTGAATGCTCTAATACAGCTTTGATAGAAAGGTCACTGATATATTATGAATTAAAAATTATTGATCTCTGGTTTTGTAGGATGGAACCTGTAGACGCGATGGCTGGATCATCTGAAACAATTGGATATAGCTTCCTTAAAAATTTATATCTGTATTTGAAGCACAAACGTAAGTATGTGAAAGAACTTGATAAGAATTTTGCAAAGCTCACAAAAGAAATACATGTTCTTCGTGCACAAAGAAGAAATATGGAAGAAATGGTGCTAAGGAATCAGTTTAGTTTGGAGATGACAGACCTGCATAGAACCCGGATTCATCAAATGGAGAAGATCGAAGAAGAAATGAGAAAGCTTGAAGTCAAATACAAGCGTGCACAGAAGTTGGAGCAACAAGTTGAAGAAGTTGAAAATCTACAAAATGGCAACAAGCACCAAGCCCGTAAGCATCCAACTGGAAAGCCAGGGTTCTTCACACTTGCAAAGCTCAATAAAGGCATTGCCAAATTAACTGGAGAAGTTGCTAAACTCAGAGAGCAAGTGAATGCTGGAAATCTAATTGGTTTTGAGTCCGTTTATTATGAATCTAAGGGATCTCTTGAGACAACTATGTCAGCGTCAACCTCAATGCTTCAGCCAAGTAATGAGCAACAGGTGGGTGGAGTACTTGATTCTCCAAACATTATGAAAATTGCTCAAGAAATAGTTAAAGAGTGGTGGTTTGCCTCTAACCATCATTGTCACTGCAAAGGCCTTGAGGAATGAAAATGATGTTCTGGTATGGGAGCATGCACTGAGACACTTCCAGCAACTTAGCGAACTCACTGATGAACATGAAGCTGCGATTAGACGATTGGAATTTAGCTATGACAGATTGAAGGATCGTGATATAAAGAGATGCTTCTTGCATTGTGCATTGTTTGCAAAGGACCATGTGATTAAGGTTGATGACTTGATAGAGAATTTTATTGAGGAGGAGTTGATTCATGTAAGTTCATCCAGAACACTGAAGAAGGGACACGATATAATTAAAAGTCTTGTCGACTCTTCACTACTGGTGAGTGTCGATGGTGGTCTGTCTCTATGGATTCCCACTATGGTTAAAGATCTAGGGTTATGGATAATGTCTTCAAAAATAGATGATTACCAGTTTTTTTTATTAGAACTGGTGTTCAGATTAAAAAGTCACTAATGGAGGAACCATTCCAAGGCAGTACTACAGAAGGTGCTATCTTGTCAGGAGCTGGTGCAGGACTAACTAAGCCACCGCCTGAGGAGGTATGGGAACAAAAGGAGATGATCTTCTTGATGAATAATGACTTGTACAGGCTACCCGAGAAACCAAATTGTCCCAATCTTTCAATGTTGTTCCTCCAAAAAAACAGGGGTTTGAGATTGATACCTCCGTCATTCTTCAATGATATGCCTTCCGTCCGAGTTGTAAACCTATCAAAAACTGGAATTAGGTCCTTGCCACCTTCACTATTTAAGCTTACTGAACTTCAGGTCCTTATTTTACGCCACTGTAATTGTGTAGGTGAGCTCCCACCCGAGGTTGGAGACCTTAGAGCCCTCGAGGTGCTTGATCTCCATGGCACTGAGCTTTTCAACCTTCCTGATGAGGTTGGTAAACTGGGATCTCTCACGCACTTGCAGGTCTCCTTCTATGAAGCTGTTGACCAAATGGAGTGTGATATGGTACCGAGTTATTTGGTTTCCCGTGATATTATATCAAAGCTCATCGCACTCCAAACTACACATTGACTGAGGGGATCAGCGGTGGAATAAGAGTGCAGAAGATATAGCACTTGATGTGGGCAGCTTGGATGAATTGACCAGTCTTCAGTTCTACTTTCCAAATGTAGATGCTCTCAACAAATTTATCAAAAAAAGTCGGCCATGGAGAAGTAATTCCTTGAGCAAGTTCAAGTTTATTGTTGGCCAGAAAATCAAATGCATTCGTTTCCGAGTCCCTGATGATATAGAGTTGGATTATGATCAAAAGGATCGATGTTTGAGATTTGCGAGCACTAAGAACATACCTGATGCAGTTTTTGAAGTACTTGGGCGCGCCACAGCATTTTATCTAGATTGCCATCTCACGATCCAGAGCCTATCAGAATTTGGGATTACTAATATCAAGGAATTGAAATTTTGTATATTAAGCGAGTGTCCCAATATTCTTGCTGTTATAGACTTTGAGAAAAATAGTGAATGGGTATTACAACACCTTGAATACTTGAGTATTCATTATTTGTGGAACTTGGAGAGCATTTGGAAGGGTCCACTGCCCCTTGGAAGTTTGAATGGGTTGAAAATTTTGTCGGTGCACACATGTCCTAAGCTGGAGTTCATTCTTGAGGAGTCCACGCTTCAATGCCTTTCTAACTTGGAAGAGTTGGTGGTTAAAGATGTGCATCACTACGGAAGATAATAGAAATGGAGGAGAAGATGGAAAATGATGATTTTGTCATACTCCCTAGTTTGAGAAAATTATCACTTGTCTATTTGCCTCAATTAGTTACTATCTGGAATGGATTTCGCCCACTAATGGAGATCACGATTTCTCACTGTCGGAAGTTGGAGAATTTCTATGAGCTTCAGGAGGATTCTGATTAGAATACATATTTCCGTCAATATTTTTATTTGCCTTTTGTCATGGAGGTGTTGGGAAACGTGCAAGTTTTAAAAACTTTTCGAGGGATTTTGAGTCATAAATCTTGATTCATCACATAGAGACAAGTTTTATATAAAAATAAAAATATGATGTATCATTCAATTAATGGATTGAATACTTACATCAAAGGTCTGAGTAAACCTTTAAAACTTTCCTCTAAAGTGAATGTTCTCACTTATTGTAGATCCCTTAGCAAGATGCCTTCTCCTTGGATCTCCATCTTCTTGGTAATTATTTTGCCTTTAGGAATCACTCATAAGCCTCCATGAATTACCTTGGAAAACTAGGCTTGTGGGAGCCTCTATTAGATGAGACCATAAACCCTAATTTTCTAGAGAGAGAAAATTTATTCCTTTTTCCTTCTCATAAAAATCACCCCCTAAAATATACATAGACCATGTATATTTATAGGCAACATAAAAATAAAGAAAAGGAAACAACAAATCCTTCTCCATCTCTAATTCATATGTCTCAAATCTAATATGATTCCAATATCAAGTTGGGCTATAGTGAGAATCCATTGGGCCTATTATTTTATTGGCTGCAATGAATTAATAATTAGCCCGGTCCATGGACCCAATTCAATTAATTCATAAATTAATTTCTACTCCACTAAAAGAAATTAATTGAACTCCAATTAAATAATAAATAACCTCTAAGTCAATATTGCACTTTGACCCCTCTATGCATAATTAGTTATCGGATAAATAAAGCCATCAATCCGACTACTTAATTAATATATCTATTTTGGTACCTCTGATTATTTCTGGCTCGATCACAATAAAACATTTGTTTGACAAAAATAATAATTTAAATAAATAAATATATAATAAATCATTTTGTCTAAAAACACACGAAGGCCTTCGAATTTACTTTGTGATCAACCATAATCAATACAAAATAAATACAAGTAGCAATGATGCAAATATTGAAAATATAACCCTCTAACTATTAATTACATAACTACCCAAAGTGTCGGTCTAAGGATCCCGAAGAATCCGCCGAACAAATCAAAGTAATTATTAATTAATAAAAGAGTCTATACTTTTCTCATGCTTAAGAGTCAAATGCCATGACGGTGATAGGGAGTAATTGCATACGACGGCTCTCGCAATATATCTCAACCTAACGCGGATCCAGTTCAAGTCTTAATTAATTATGAGTCCATCCATAATTACCGACTATGAACAATTTATAATTACTATTTATATATCATGCATTGATTGCCATCACATACATATATATAAATATTTCTTGTAATTACATGGACACTATCAATTTCATAGTGAATCGAAACATAATACATTGAATTCACCAATTATATAAATCATAAATATTTCAGATATGTCAGGAACATATGTCACTATAATCCAGATAGGAATTTGCTATGCCAGGGCATATAAATCCCAACAGGAGGAACAATACCATTCTTATCTTTCAATTTTTTTTATGATTATATTTTTTTTTGAAATTTTATTAGTTGTTGGTTTGGTATTAAATTTGAATTTCAAATAGATGCAAGCACATTGCCTGCAAGCTTCAGAGATCTCAATACGGTCTGAGAACTGGATGATCATTTCCAAGGTCTCCTATTAACACATTCATGATATTGAATACATGTGTTTGTATGTGTATACACATAAATATATATTAGGGCGGTTATGTTTCTATTAGAAACTTGTGAATTTGTGATAATTGAGATTATAATGTTAGTTGAAATTTGGGTGAAAGCTATGACCTTGTGAGTTAAAATTATTGTTGCATTTGCTAAAATGTTGTGCTTCATCTATCAGAGTTCCTTGATAGACAATAGACACCATAAATTTGGAGGCTGCCGCTGACAAGCATAGACGAGCCAGAGTGTCCAAAGAGGGCCATTTTGCCGATCATTTGGGACTTCTGGTAAGCTAACAAGCAGAAAATGTGGGTGGTTTGGCACGGAAAGGATTAATAGAATGCTTATGTGGTAGAGCTTCTTGATGACATTCGATTTCTAATACGTTTAATGTGACAGACTTGTTTGAGTATCATCATCCTCTGTGATGAGTCACTTTATTCACAGGCAAACTCGGGGACAAAGTGGAGGGAATTGATGTAGGATGTGTTGCTGATGATTTTGGGACCGTTTGGAATGCCAGAAGGCTAAACAGACAAGCCAACATATTGTTGAGCTTGAAGCTCGTAACATATATTTTCAGTACCATAGGAAAACTATTGAATATTTCGGAATTTTTAGTAGTGGTCTAATTGGATTCAAAATTGAGCTGATTTTGGCACTTACATATTTTAAGTGATTAGGTTTTATCTCCTAATTTTTTTTTTTTTTTTTTTTTAATTTTTAGAGGTAGTGCCATTTTTTGTGGGGTGAAAGGAATACTTGAATTTGCACAATTTGTCTGCAGTTAAGAAAATGGTAGATTGTGTCAAAACTCAACCTGGTTTTGGCTGTGTGTTCAGCATGTTTGAATTTGGTCTTGATTGTACCAACATTTGATATTATCCTGTATGCAGTTAGATGGCAACTTTTGATAATAATAATAATAATAATAATAATAAAATGCCTATAGAATGGCTTGCAGCGATCTCCACATTTTGTTTCCAGCCTATTTATATGTTCTCTTTTTTGATAACTTTGTATTGGATATGGTCCTTTTTATTTCCTTTGTTTTGGTGGAGGAGATATGCTACATCAAGGTTCAACTCTGCGGATCCAATTGGGTTTTTTGGAGGTATTTTGGTAATTTATGCATTTGTTATGTTGCTCTAGTGCAAGGGTATTTATTCATCATAGTTGCAACCCCTTGAACATAGCTTTGAATTTTGGGTGAATCAAGTAAATCTATGTGTTCTTGTTGTGTGTGTATTTGATTAATTTCTTGTATTTTCTGTTTAATTTCGCAAATGGGTAGTTTCCATCTTTGTTTTTATTTTTTACTTTTAGATAAGTATTTAAATTGTATTGAACCACATCAACTGGGAGAGGTAGAACGGAAGTATTGTCCTAATTTGTATGAAGTTTTTTTTTTTCTTTTCCCATATAATTTCTATGAAGTAAATGCACGATGGTTGAGAAAATTCCAATATAAGTCGTGGTCAAGTCGATGAAGGAAATTTATTCCATGGCGAAGCTGAAAATTTACTTCAAAAGAAGCAATCATTATAAATAATATGATCGGAAATTTTAAACCAAAACTAATACATAGTAAGCTCGAAGCAACCACGACTAAGCTCAATCCGACGAGCACTCAAGCAACGGCAAGCTCTCAAGCCTCAGCAAAACCCGTATATGTCCGGCAATCTCTTTACTAACACTCGACTTGTGATAACCCGAATTTTTTTAAGGTTTTAAATTTTATGATTTTTAGTCAAGATTGATTATTTAATTTTTGGTAATTTTGAGTTATTAATATTTTGTTTTTTAGTGTTGATTTTAATTAAATTATTTAATTTAATTATTTATTTTATTAAGTTAGTGGAGGTTTAGTTTTAATATTTTATATATATTTCGTGTATGCATGATGGAGCAGCCGAAGGAATAAATGAAGGGAAATTGTGAAATGGAAAGTTGTATTGCATTGCGGGTCCTACCAAAATGATGTTCAATGGGTTAGATTTTGTTTCATTTATATATATATATATATATATATAAATATATATATTATGTATATGTGATTTTGGGTGGCTGCCGAGTGGGAATGGAGAAAGGATTGTGGTAGTGTGGGTCCTATAAGATATTTTTTTATGTTGCTTTAATATAAAGTTACATAAATAAAGCAACATAAAAAAATATCTTGTAGGATATATTTGTGTGTGTTGTGAATTGAAAAGAAGAGGAAGGAAGGAAAAGTTGGTGTGATTTGAGCGAGACCCACTTGGATTGTTTGGCTAAAAAATTGTTTTGGTTTTAGGCTGATTTTTTTTCGCGTGGGTTTTCTCAGTGTAGACGTGATAAGGAAGCAAGGTGGCCGGCTGAGAAGAAAAGAAAGAACGAGCAGGTTGGTACTGAAATGATGTAAGATTAGGAAGGAAAGTAGTGGGTTCACGTGGGTCTATTCTGTGCGAGGTGGATGGATTTGCCTTTATATATGGTGCTTTGTCTTGTGAATTTAGTGACCAAACATAATAGAAAAATGAGAGAGTGAGAGAGAGAAACAGAGGGAGAGAATGGACTGCAGATACAGCAGAGAAGGCTGGAAGTTTGAGGAAAAATCTTTTTCCGGGTAGGGTTCTTTATACTTTGAATGGCATGGGGTGGTTTTGCCTCAAATGATTTTATCAAATGTTTTGATTAAATATTTTGATTAAATGCAAATTTATTTTGTCTATATACTCACATGATTATGTATGTTTTGTGAAGCTGTTTTATTAAACCTCCATGAAATTCTTGTTATGGTTTTTCTTACTGGAAATTTTTGTCTCACCACCCTCCAATTTCAGGTACCGAAGATGAACGAGGATTGCTAGATTCGGGTTTAGGCTGAAGAGTCGGCGTTGCAAGATATTATTTTATTTATTTGGAGATTTTTTTGTGTATTTGAGGAAATTGACTTTGTATAAAAAGAGGACATTTTTTCTGATCCTGGGTGTATTTTGATGTAATTAGATTTATATAAATTGAGGATTTTGTTAGAAAATTCGGGGTCATGACACGAGTGTTACAATGTTGAAATGAAAAATAAAAAGTCTATAATGAATGATTGCTATTATTTATTATTTCAACAAGCACAGCTACATAACAAGATTACATAAGATACCCTTGACTAACTCAAGGATGTAATGAAGGATACAATGAACACGCATATAATATATTGCCATTGGAAAGAACAAAGTTGAAGGAGGGAATCTTGACGGAAGAAAAAGAGGATCCATGTAGTGCAATCATCTCCGTTGCATCACGCACAATCCACTCCTTCGTAAAAGGAAACTGCTGCTCCCACTCAAAAGCCATTAAAAAACACACCTATTGAGGTGGAAAGACAGCCTCGCCTCCTTGAGCAAGATCCTGCTTCAGAAAACTTCCACCCTCATTACAAGTCACCATGCCAAGCCAAGGGGGCTACCAGACCTTAGGCAGGACACTCTGTAAATAGAAAATCCCGCTAGAAAAGGGCACAAAGTGGACTTGAGTCTAAGGGTGAGCAAATAATCCATCAATCCGGTCTGAACCAATCAGATCCGTGTGGTTTGGTTCGGTTTTCAGATCTCATGGTTCGGTGATGGTTTGAAAAATCTGTAATCCGGTGTTCGCAGTTTGGTTAACGGATTGGACCTTGGGAAAACCGATCCGAACCGTTAACCGAACCGAACCGAACCGTTGCCAATCCGAACCGTTAGTCAATCTGAACCGAACCGTTAAATAAATAATATATTAATATATTGTGTATATATATAATATATATACACAATATACCGTATTTCTTTTCTTTTTTCTTTTTTCTTTATTCATTATTCTTTTAATGTTAACCTAACCCTAACTCAGCCTCGCTTATTCATTATTCCAATCTCATTTCAGCCACGCCTCTTCTCTTCACCCTTTCAGTGTTCTCCTATCGCCTCTGTTAATCTGTGACTCTTCGCCTTTGTCTTCCTCTCGCCTCTTAATCCCTCGCCTCCCAATCTCTCGCCTTTCAATCCAACACCTCTCAACCATCATTCACCAGATTCGAAGCGACGACGACCTCTGCGTATCGAAGCAACGATGACCTCTTCGACTAGATCTACCTCTTTTCCGGTGAGTTCACTAGATTTTTCCGTGGGATTTCTTATTCTCCTCTTCTCTGAACATTTTTTGTAAATTATTTTTTTTTCTTATTCTCCTCTTTTCTTTGACTTGATCTACTTCTTACAAATTATTTTTTTTAATGGTTTTCCACTGATTGCATGTATTAACTATTGTTTGATTACCAGTATGTCTTGAATTCATCGGGAAAGGACATGAAAACAACTTGCCGCCGGTGATGGAGAGTCCCATTTGGGGATGTTGTGATCCTCAAGCTCTTCACACAATGAAATCCCAGAAAGCCCTCTTAATTTTATATTTGTTTATATTCCTCTCTCTAAAAATTTTTATTCTGGGTTTGATTACTACGAGTGAGAGTGAGTATGCTTTTCTTAAATTTTCGCAATCATCAGTGAGACGATGGCGGTGTTTTGGCCTTCAATCAATTGCTGAATCCCTCTCCTCACATGATTTTAATTTTGTTTTGTAAATTGTCAACCCATGTTATATTATATATATATCTATTATACTATTGCAATTGACGGCCAGAAATTGACCTCCACCAGCCACCACATGTACATCCTTCAATTAACACACGATGAAAACCCCAATCAATAACCCATTGAACATCAAGTTGATTTGGGTATGAAAGAGGATCTGTTTGAAAAGCCTAATCAGCTTAATCCATGGAAATCGATCCGAACCGATCCGTCACTTTACGGATCGGTTTGGTTCGGATTGAAGGCCCCCACGGATCGGTTCGGTTTCAATTTTCACCAATCCGTGGGGACCGGTTCGGCTTGATCTTTACCCCCAAACCGAACCGATCTGAACCGTGACCAGCCCTACTTGAGCCTCAATAAAAATCCTTACATCAGGGACTGGCTAACAAAGCCACTATGAAAAGGATCCATAAATGATCCTCCAACACAAAGGCGCTCCAAGCCTTCCAAATCAACCGAACATAGCGCAAAACAGTTGCTAAACTTTGAATGTCATGCAATTTCTGATGTCCATCACATAGCTTGATATTTTTTCCTTGGACCTGTTCAAAGAGACAAGTACCCAAAGCCCAACCCATAAGTGAGCCTATCCTACTGCAGCCCAGGGGCAATCGGGCCTTATTTGGGATTGACCCAGCAACACTTAAATTACATGGGCCATTTTCTTCTTGAAAATGATGGCTGTTATTGATTTGTGTAAAATTAGAAGTTGAAAGTCCATATTTGAATTGCCAATGTTACAACAATAAAGAGGACTTTGTAGGCTAAATGTTGAATAAATCATGTGTTGTACATTAGATCATTAATGATGATTTGAATGTGTAGAGTCCTAATGCTAGACCCCACTATTGTCGAGTTTGAGTTGTCAATGTTTGAACCTCAAAGGTTATTTTGAAAATAGGAAGACAAGACATTGTATGAATATAGGAAGGTGGGCTGTAGTCTATGTAAATGCTGGTTGTCTGAAAATTCTAAGTGTTATATTCCTTCTGTTTTCTTCTCTTCTCTTCTATGTTTCGTTATTTCATCTACTGCAATTACTTCTTATCAATTAAAATCATCTTCTCTTTTCACACAATACATATAATTGGTTGAATCTCCAGCCGACAACCCGTCCTTGTTTTCATCAGCTATACCCAACCGGCGGCCCTCCTCTGCTCCGACGACTCCTACAAATTTTCATCAGCTATACCCAACCGGCGGCCCTCCTCTGCTCCGACGACTCCTACAAATTACACAGCCCGTACTGGTTGGTGCTGACGAACTAGTTGGATCGTTCACTACTAGGGCGACACTTCTTGCTCGAATCCAGCTCCTGCGACACTTGCTTTTTTATCTCTCCGATTCCGTTTGCTTTTCTCGGATCCACCGTTCACCACTTCTTGCATGTTTCCCTCTCCGATTCCACTTTACCCTTCTTTGCTTTGTACGGAAAACGGGTCTGAGAAAGAGAAAGAGACTAAGAGAGAGAGAAGACCCAAATTGAACTCTCCGACCGTGGGCAACACCAACCGGATCGTTCACCACTTCTTGCTTCTTTAGAATGAGTGAGATATTAGAGAGAGAACTAGAAAGAGAAAAAGAAAAGGAGGAGAGAGAAAGATAGGAAAATAGTCAAGCTGGAGAGGGCCACGTCGTTTCTGTCAAAGTAATCCATCAGATACTTCGGTTGAAGTATCATTTTCGGTTTGAATTATAAGGCAATCCCCCGGGAAAGGAGTTGGACAGAATTCCGACTCGATCGGCAGTTCTAATGACTAGTTTGAGTGATTTCGTTGTTGTGTCTCCTATTCTCGATGCCTTGTTAAGCATATTGGGTTGGCTTTTTGATACTGCTAGTAACAGGTCGCTGGTAATTCCAAAGAAGACAAAGATGCGGCTCACAGAGCTTCAGCTGGTCATTGAAGAAATCTTAACCTTTGTTCTGATCGCAGAACGGGAAATTAACAGGAGAATTAATTCCAGTTTATGGCTAGAAGAAGTTAAAAGAACAGCGTACGATGCAAACGACTTGTTGGATCTTTTTTCCACTAACAAAGTCAGCACTAGCAGCTACTCCTTGATGCTTCACTTTGCTCAAAATCTCCATAACATGTCCAAGATTCGTCATATGTCACTGAAATTCAAGAAACTCTTGAAGAAGCAGAAGGACAAGGTGGGGAATTACGATAGCAAACATACGGATATGATTATGATCATCAGAGACCACTTCCAATGCCGTTCTTCTCCTAACCTTCAGGCGGTTGATGAACTCATGTTGCTCTTACAATCAAACAAGGTTTTCGGAAGGGAAGATGACAAGAAGAGGATGTTGGTTTTGTTGACCGAAGACAATAAGCAAATTCAGCTTTCCGTCATTCCCATCTTGGGTGTGGATGGAATTGGAAAGACCACTCTGGCTCGCTTGCTATACAACGATGAGAAAGTATTGAAGCATTTCGATCTAAAGGCTTGGGTGTCTTGTGATGCCCAAAATTTTGATAAAGTAAAGATTGCAAAAGGGATCATAGAATCTGTGACAGGGTTTCCTCTCCAGCCAGAAAAGAGGGGTGACCTAAATGATCTCGTCAGAAATGCCTTAGAGTCGAAAAGATCTTTAATTGTACTAGATGACATCCAAATTATATACAGAGAGGATATTGACATACTGAATTTTTTTTTCGGTTTAGCTGCTTTGGGATCTAAAGTTATGTTGACAACACCCAGCCTTGAAGTTGCAAGTGTTATAGGCACTGATGAGTGCTATGAACTGAGTGAACTATCTTATAACGATAGTTGGTCTATGTTCAGCTATCTAGCATTTGATTCTTCGGATGCTATACACAATTCACAACTCAGAGTTGCTGCAACAATTGTGGACCGCTGCAGAGGCATCCCTCTTCTGCTAAATCTTCTCGGAAGCCTTATGAGATTCAAAAAAGAGAAAAAAGATTGGATTGCCTTCAAAACTTTCCTCAAGGAAAGTTCAATTATGATCTCTTCTTTTGGTCGTCTCATGCGCCAAAAGGCATCAGTAAGCCATGACATCAGTAATCATCTTGTTCTGCATATTGTTCAATTTTCACCAGGGACTGCGCTGTAAACAAAGAGAAGCTGATTCAGATGTGGATTGCGGAAGGTCTCGTTCAGACATTTGAAGGAGAGGAAATTTGTTAAAATTAGATTAATGCCATGTTCATTTATGTATATGTTCATTCATGTATCTGTTATTGTACATGTATCAAGTGAGTGCATGTATCATGTGAGTGTATGCATCATATGTGTGGTTAAGAATTGTCTTGAAAAGTTCAAAGGTCTATGGGAGAATAGTATATATAGTGTAAGGGATTTGTTGTTAAGGCATATCAACACAACAAAGAATTCAATACAATACAATATTTGTTTCTCTCATCTCTTCACTTAGAAATTATTTAGTTAGTTGAAACTACAGCCAACATAAGTGGTATCAGAGCTTGATTTCTATCAAGAGCAAACTGGGCGTGAAGCTTATTGACGGGAAAACAAACCCCAAAGAAGATCGATCGTGATGGCGACTACAGGCAATCAAAACCAAGGTGCCCATCAATCAGCACTTTCCATTTTTTATGGAGAAAATTATGATTTTTGGTATGTGAAGATGAAGACCATTTTTCTCTCATATGATTTATGGGATTATGTTGAAGATGAGTATGATGAACCGGAGGATACAACAACTTTAACGAATGCCCAAAGACAACAATTGAAAGATCATAAGAAGAAAGATGCAAAAGCTTTAGGCTTGATTCAACAAGGAGTTGCTGATACAATCTTTCCCAGAATTATCAATGTTTCTAAAGCAAAGGAGGCATGGGATATTCTCGAGAAGGAGTATAGAGGCAACACGAAGGTAAGAACTGTAAAACTCCAATCTTTGAGAAGAGATTTTGAAAATATGAAGATGAAAGAAATGGAGTTGTTGAAAGAATATTTTTCTAAACTTATGGAGGTGGTAAATCAAATGAAGACCTATGGGGAAGATATTTCTAATCAAAGAATTGTTGAAAAAAATCTAATTAGTTTGCCTGAAAGATATGACTCTATTGTTGCTGTTATTGAAGAGACTAAAGAGCTTGAAAACTTGAGTGTTGAAGAATTGATGGGTTCCATAAAAGCATTTGAGCAAAGGTTGAATAGGCGCTACGAAAAAAACAATTGAGAGTGCTTTTCAATCCAAGCTCAATGTTAGTTCCAAAAATCAAGAAAAATACCCATCAAGTTTTGATCGATCCAAAGGTGAATCTTCTAGAGGTGGAAGAGGAAGAAATTCAAGAGGAAGAGGAAGAAATTCAAGAGGAAGAGGAAGAGGAAGAAACAATTTTGAGAGAAGTGGAAATATAGAGTCCACTCAACAAAATTGTGGAATTTGCAAGAGAAGTAGCCATGTTGACAAAGATTATTGGTTTCGGGGAAAACCTCAATGTTTCAATTACAAGAAATTTGGACATGTTCAAAAAGATTGCCGGTTGAAAACAAATCAGCAAGCAAATTTTTCCGAAGAGCAAGAAGGTGAAATGAGCATGTTTTATGCTTGTCAATCGACATCGGAACAAAAGGATGATGTGTGGTTTCTTAATAGTGGGTGTAGTAACCACATGACAAGAGATAAAAACATATTCTTGGAGATTGATTCTTCATCCAATTCTCAAGTGAGGATGGGAAACAGTGCCTTGGTCCAAGCAAAAGGAAAATGTACTATTGCCATAGAGACAAAAAAAAGGAAGAAAGCATATTCGGGATGTGTTACTTGTTCCGGATTTGGAGCAAAATTTGTTAAATGTTGGACAGCTTGTAAAGCATGGGTACTCCATTCATTTTGATGAGGACTCTTGCAAAATTTATGACAAGGGAGGACAAAATCATATTGTGGCAAAAATCAAGATGGGCAAAAATAGAAGCTTTCCTCTCACTTTTTCATGTTAAAAAAATATGGCCTTGAAGATGGATGTTGTTGATGAGTCATGGCTTTGGCATAAAAGACTTGGCCATTTGAATTTCCAAAGCTTAAAGAATTTACAACAAAATAGCATGGTGTATGGGCTGCCAACAATACAAGAAGTTAAAAAGGTTTGTGAAGTTGTGCTCTTGGCAAGCATCACCGAGAGTCATTTTCGAAAGAGAAGGCATGGAGGGGTAAAACACCATTAGAGCTTGTTCATACCGATGTGTGTGGACTGATGACAACACCAACTCATGCGGGTAACAAGTATTTTATTATTTTCGTTGATGATTTTTCAAGAATGACATGGATTTATTTCATGAGACAAAAATCAGACGTGTTCTCTATTTTCAAAAAATTTCAAAAGCTTGTTGAAAGGAAAAGTGGCCATCTTATCAAAGTGTTAAGAAGTGATAGAGGTGGAGAGTACAACTCAAATGAGTTTGAAAAGTTTTGTGAAGATATTGCCTTGGAGAGGCAATTAACAATTATTGAGATGGGAAAATCAATGCTTCATGAGAAGGGGCTACCTAAATCATTTTGGGGTGAAACCGTGTATACGGCTGTTTACTTGATGAATAGGAGTCCAACAAAAGCGGTGGAGAATAAAACTCCATTTGAAGCATGGAGTGGAAGGAAGCCATCATTGAACCACTTAAAAGTTTTTGGGTGTATTTGTTTTTCTTATGTTCCAAGAGAAGTGAGGCACAAACTTGATGAAGCTAGTGAAAAATGCATCTTTGTGGGTTATAGCTCAAAATCAAATGGCTATAGACTCTTTAATTTGAAGAAGAATAAATTGATTATTTGTAAAGATGTTCTCTTTAATGAGAAGGCTGCTTGGGATTGGAAATAGAAGAAAGTTCAAGATCAAATCCCCATTTTCAATGAAGAATCAGGAAATCAAGAAAATGAAAATGAAGATTTTCTTGAAGTTCCACAAGAAATGTCTCCCGTAACTAGCTTACAATCAATCCCAACTTCTCCATCAAACTCAAATTCCTCATCTCCAAGTTTAACTCTAAGAAGAATGAAAAGTCTTAGTGATGTGTATGCAAGTTGCAATTTTTGTATTGTTGAACCGAAGAACTTTGAAGAAGCAATTAAACAAGAGGTATGGAAGAAAGCTATGGAAGATGAAATTTATGTGATTGAGAAGAACAAAACTTGGGAGTTAGTAGAGAAACCAGAAGACAAAGATGTGATTGGTGTGAAATGAATTTTTAAAACAAAATTCAATCCGGATGGCTCCATTCAAAAAACAAAGCAAGACTTGTAGCAAAAGGGTATTCACAACAACTCGGAATTGATTTTCAAGAAACTTTTTCACCCGTGGCTCATCTTGACATAATTAGAGCACTCATTGCCTTGGCAGCTCAAAATGGTTGGTCCTTGTATCAACTTGATGTAAAATCTGCCTTCTTGAATGGTGTTTTAAAAGAGGATGTCTATGTAAAACAACCTCAAGGCTTTGTTGCAAAAGGAGAAGAAGAGAAAGTTTACAAATTAAAGAAGGCTTTGTATGGCCTAAAACAAGCACCCCGGGCATGGTATAGTGAGATTGATTCTTACTTCATCAAAAAAGGCTTTCAAAGGAGCAAAAGTGAGCCAACCTTGTACTGTAATGTCTGTGTGTGGTGCAATTTAAAAGAAAAAAAAAAAAGAAAAAAAAAAGAAAAGGTGGGACCCACTCCAATTTTAAGTCTATGGAATGGGTAATGGGTCATTACAAACCCACTATTTTTTTTTTTCTTCTTCTCTCTCGGTTTACTCCCTCTCTGCCCGCTTGCTTTTCTTTTTTTTTTCTTCTACACAATTAAGCTTGATTTCTCCCTCATTTGTTGGCGGATTTAGGTGCCGTTTGAGGCAAAACGAAGCCCATGACGAGCTCTACGCATCCATACGAACAATTCCAGATTTGGTGCCCTTCTTGGAGTTCGAATTTCAAGACCCATTTTAAGGGTTTTGTGCAATCTTGAGGTAAGGGCCCTTAAGTCATGATGTTCTTGCTCTTTTGTGAATTATACCTCCTATATTGTTGAAAAGTATGCTTATTTTTGAATTAATTGTATTAAAGATGATGTAAGTGTTATATGTGAGGTTATGATTAAATGTGTTATTTGAGTTGTATGAGAACATGTTTATTTGACTAATTTTCTTGTCTGATAAATTGATTTACCATGCTTATATTGTTGTAAAACTTGCTAGAATGATATGGGATGGCATGTGTAATTTTCCTAGAGTACTTGTAATGTATGCACAATTGTATAATGTGAAAGCCTTTACTTCTATGGCATTAAGAACATGATGTATATGCATACCATGAGACATGATTGGGAAGATTGTTTTTGAAATGAAAATAGGGAGTTTTGGGGAAAAGTATTTTGATGAAAGTGTTTTTGGAAAACCCGGTCGCTGTAGGGGTACCAAAGGGCCGGAGTGTTAATATAGCCTATAGGGGACTAGGGAGTCGCCCTAGCGTGGTTGAGCTAGCTGGGTCCCATAATGACGCCGCGGGGTTACCAAGGGTCAGGGACACTAGCCAATCCTCCTCTCGTGTCGCTGCGGGGTCACCAAAGGGCGGGTTATATTAACAGTTTGAAAGTGATGAATTTTAAATGTGAAAACGGGGAGCGACATCGGCATGCATTCGCATTTCATGGCATTGCGTTGTTTGTACTTGAATTTGATTGGAATGTTGTATTATCCCGATATTGTACGATCCCCATTCCCATTGACCTATTCTATGTTTGGATTCACGGGGACACAAGATGCGTGTCTTAAGTGTCACCTACTGAGCATATAGCTCACCTTGCATACTTATTATTTTTTTCAGGTCATGGCAAAGAAACGGCGGATGACAATCCTCCGCAAACTTGAAAGTTGTTAGAAGGTTGTTTGCTATTTTGTATTTTGACCATTCTATGTATATTCATAGTTGTGGAAATGTAACTAAGTTAGTATTCATGGCCTTGTAATTTAAGAACGAACTTATCTTTTGTTTAATGTAAATGAAACTAATGGAATCATGGTATATATTTCCATGTAATTGTATCATGTAACATTATAAGACATGAACTTTAGATCTTAACCATGTATTTTGGGACTGTAATTATGATAATTTAGATTAATTGGTGCGTACATGTTCTACCATGAGAGGAACTATGTTAAGGTGTAATGAATGGGATGCAGGAGTATATTTTTTTGTTTTGTGTATTAGGACAGGTTGTTGAAGGACCACTTTTAGGGGAGGTTATGCCGAAATTTTTGTATAAATGGTTTTAGTTTAAGGTCGTTACAAATTTGGTATCAGAGCGATGGTTCGAATACCATTAGGACGACGGGTAGAGGCTTACCTAGGGTTGTCGGGGAAGTCATTTGTATTGTTATTTGCTTGTTTGGAAAAGTGTTTTGCTATGTGAAAAAGCATGCTTAACTACTTACTTGTTTACGTGCTTATATGCCTATATTAATGTGTTCATTGCATAGTATTACATGCTAAATGTTTGTACAGTATGTTTTTGCGTTGGGTTGTTCACTGTTGGACCTTAGTATTATTGTTATTGAATTATTTCCTTTGTTTTATAGAACGATGTCACGGCGTGAGGAAATCAGGGAAGTTTGCCCTAGACCGACTAGGGGTGATGTTGGTGAGAGCTCCAGCTCCAATCCGGAGGAGCTAAATGATGAGGACACACTTCTTAGGGACTTGATTCCCCGGAGAACTGTCCCCACAAGGAGGGATAATGTTGAAGCACCCGTAGAAATGGGTGAAGGTTCCGTGGCACTGGTGTTTAATCGTTTGTTGCAAAATGTCGTGAGGGCAAATATTGCTGCTCAGTCATAGTCGGCACCACAACCTACAGTTCAAGTTGAGGAGACGCCAGCTCAGAAGCGTCTCAAGATTATTAAGGGGTTTTCTCAGCTGATGCCGGTTATGTTTGAGGGCGGTGCGGATCCAATGATAGCAGATGACTACATGGAGCAAGTTGAAACTCAATTGACTTCTATGGATGTGACAGAGGATCATTTAAAGATCATCCTAGCTACTTATAAGTTTGCTAAGGATGCTAAATTATGGTGGAAGTCGGTTACGAGCCGATACAAGGTGGAAGAGATGAGTTGGGACAAGTTCAAGGAATTGTTTTATGAAAAGTACTTTCCGCTTTCCAAAAGATGGGAGTTACAAGACCAGTTTCATAACCTTATCCAAGGGAGCATGTCAGTGGCAGAATACAAAAACAAGTTCACTTCACTTTCTCGCTTTGCTCCAGAAATGGTGAGAGATGAAGTTAACAAGACTCGGAAGTTTGTTTCTGGTCTTAATGATCGGATGAGGCCGTTGATCATGGTACAGTTCATTAAGGTTTACTCTGAAGCAGTGGAAAGGGCTTTGATGCTGGAAGCTGATAATAAAGAGAAGGATGCAAAAAGAGAGCAGTTGAAGCAAAAGAGGGGTGCAGGGCCATCTTTAGAAAGATCTTCTTGGAAAAGGAACAGGGGTGGTTCATCTCAGTTTCAGGGACAACAGTCTGCACGATCTGCTCCTACCACTCCGTTGCCAGCTGGGTCTGATAGGAATGCAGTTGTTTGCTTTCAATGTCAGCAGCCTGGGCATTACAAGTCCAGTTGTCCCATGAGATTGACTTCAGTTTCTTCAGCTCCGAAGGCTTGTTATGGGTGTGGCCAGCAGGGCCATTTGATTCGGGACTGTCCGAGTCAGGGAGCAGGCATCACTAGTGGCAGAGGGTCACGGCAGAGGCCGTTACAGTCGGCTACGGTTCAATCAGGTTTCAGACCGCCACCGCCACCGCCACCACCACAGCCTGCCTTATCTTCTCAGGGTTCACGACCAGCTAGGAGGGATACTCCTACTGTGTCGGCACAACAGTCTGGTGTTCAGATTAGTAGTTTACAGGCACAGGCACCGCAGGGGCGTGTCTTTGCCCTTGCACCGACTGATGCATCTCCTGGATCTTCAGTTCTCCGAGGTATATTTCCAGTGTTTGGTTCTTGGGCCCGTGTTTTGTTTGATTCTGGTGCATCTCATTCTTTCATTTCATCATCATTTGCATTTGCATCGGGGTTAGAGGTCAGTTTTATGGATCGGGCGTTATGTGTTGATACGCCAGTTGGAGTTTCAGTGTCTTTGAGCCTAGTTGTGAGGGACTGTTCCATTGTGATAGCCGGGCGGACTTTTGTATTTGACCTTATCCTCCTAGAAATGACTAGCTTTGATGTCATTCTCGGGATGGATTGGTTAGCTTCTTTTCATGCCACGATCGACTGTTTCAGAGGAAAGGTTATAGTTTGTACTCTCGAGGGAGACTATTTCTTTTTCGTGGGAGATCGGAGTGATTCCCACATTTCATCGTTTTATGGAATTCGTGGACGGAGTCGTGGTGATTACTTTTTGGCTACCCTTATAGCCGAAGAGGATGATGTTGTGGAAGAATATTATCCTGCAGTTGTTCGTGATTTTCTGGATGTGTTTCCGGAGGATTTGACAGAGTTGCCTCCATACCGAGAAGTGGAGTTCTCTATTGAGTTAATGCCAGGTACCGCGCCGATTTCTATGGCACTGTATCATATGACACCAGTTGAATTGGAGGAATTAAAAAGACATCATGATGATTTGAGGATGAAAAGTTTCATCCGACCGAGTGTGTCACCATGGGGCGCACCGGTCTTGTTTGCTAAGAAGAAAGATGGTTCTTTGAGATTGTGCATCGATTATCGGAAGTTGAATCGCGCCACCATCAAGAACAAGTATCCTTTGCCAAGGATAGATGATTTATTTGATCAGTTGAGGGGAGCCAGTTGTTTCTCCAAGATTGACTTGAGGTCTGGCTATTATCAGTTGCGGGTTAGGGATGAGGATATCCCGAAGACAGCATTTTGTACACGGTATGGACACTATGAGTTCCTTGTTATGCCTTTTGGCTTGACTAATGCTCCAGCGGCATTCATGGACTTAATGAACCGCGTCTTTCACGATTACTTGGACCAGTTTGTGGTAGTTTTCGTGGATGACATTCTTGTGTATTCACGATCTCGGGAGGAACACGAGATCCATTTAAGTATTGTTTTACAGATTTTGCGGGAGCACCGGTTGTATGCCAAATATGAGAAATGTGAGTTTTGGCTACAAGAGGTGAAGTTTTTGGGACATGTTGTTTCAGAAGGCGGAGTGTCAGTTGATCCATCAAAGATTGAAGCTGTTTTGATTTGGGAGTAACCCAAGAATGTGTTTGAGATCCGTAGTTTTCTTGGTCTAGCGGGTTACTACCGGAGATTTGTGAAAGATTTCTCCCGTTTAGCAGCGTCTATGACTCGTTTAACCCGGAAAGGGATTAAGTTTGCATGGAATGAAGCCTGTGAGTCATCTTTCCAGGAATTGAAGACAAGATTGACTACGGCTCCAGTGTTGGTGATACCTGAGCGTGGCTTGGGTTATGTGATCTATTGTGATGCTTCACGTGATAGTTTAGGGTGTGTGTTGATGCAGGATGGTAGAGTAGTGGCTTATAGGTCTCGACAGTTGAAGACTCATGAGTACAACTACCCTACTCATGATTTGGAGTTGGCGGCAGTTATGTTTGCTTTAAAGTGTTGGAGACACTACTTGTATGGTGAAAGATTCGAGGTGTACTCGGATCATAAAAGTCTCAAGTACCTTTTCTCCCAAAAGGACTTGAACAATAGACAGAGAAGATGGGTTGAATTCTTGGAAGATTATAATTTTGACTTGCAGTATCATCCGGGCAAGGCAAATGTGGTAGCAGATGCCTTAAGCCGAAAATCTCGTGGAACTTTGGCCTGTCTGGTTATTCGGAAGTGGAAGATGCTTAAGGATTTGGCAGAGATGGGATTGTATTGTTTTGATGATGATGTTGACAGCGAGCCGACATTCTTGTTTAGTCTTATGGCTCAGCCTACTCTTGTTGTACGAGTGATTGAGTCACAGAGACAGGACCCGGATTTAGATGCCATTCACGCTTTGATCTCCAGTGGTGAGACAGTGAAAGATTGGGCTTTGTGTACAGATGGGGGGTCTACGGTTCAGGGGTTTGTTGGTGGTTCCTACTGTTTGTTGTAAGGACGTCTTACGGGAGTTTCACACTTCCTGTTTTGCAGTTCATCCAGGTGGTACCAAGATGTATCACAATTTGAGACGTTAGTATTGGTGGAACGAGATGAAAAAAGATGTTGCACAGTTTGTGGCTAGATGCCTTACCTGTCAGCAGGTGAAGGCCGAGCATCAGAGACCAACAGGTTTGTTACAACCATTACCTGTAGCACAATGGAAATGGGAGCATATTGCTATGGATTTTGTGACAGGTCTTCCAAGGTCACGAAGGGGAAATGAGTCTGTATGGGTCATCATCGACAGATTAACCAAGACGGCTCACTTTTTGCCTATTAAGGTAACAGATAATGCAGAGAAGCTTGGTGTTCTTTATGTGAAGGAGATTGTAAGGTTGCATGGAGTTCCAGTAACCATTGTTTCAGATAGGGATGCTAAGTTCACTTCGAAGTTTTGGGAAGGACTTCAAGCAGCATTTGGCTCAGCATTGCACCTGAGTACGGCATTCCATCCACAGACTGACGGTCAGTCGGAGCGTACTATCCAGATTTTGGAGGATATGCTTCGGGCATGTGTGCTTGACTTGGGTGGTAGTTGGGAGGATCACCTTCCACTTATTGAATTTGCCTACAACAACAGTTATCAGGCGAGCATTCAGATGGCTCCATTTGAGGCGTTGTATGGTAGACCTTGTAGGTCTCCTGTTTGTTGGACTGAGGTAGGTGAGACAGCCGCCTTAGGACTTGACATTGTACTCGCGACTACTGAGAAGATTAAGTTGATAAGACAGAGGTTACTTACATCTCAGAGCCGACAGAAGAGTTATGCGGATAAGCGGAGACGGTCGTTATCCTTTGAGGTGGGAGACCACGTTTTTCTTCGGGTTTCTCCACGGAAGGGATTGATGAGATTCGGGAAAAGTGGCAAGTTGTCTCCACGATTTATTGGATCATTTGAGATTT